GCAGGGTGCCAGTACATATGGTATTCCTGTGTTGGGATATCACTGCTGTTGGTCACTGGATTGTTCCTGTACTATCTCCCATCTTCCTGCTGATCCAAAACAACTCAGTCCTACTTCTGTTGGGAGGAAGGCTGGAGAAGAGACGGCATTGACAAGGGGCTCAGGTGCTGGGAAGCTAGTCAAAGAATGAAGTCAGTGCAGTCACTGACATGGACTTGAGTGGCATGCTCTGAAAGGGGTAAGGAAATGGAGGGCCATGGGGAGCACACTTCATCTCTCTTCTGTTGGTCCTCACACTCTCCTGTACCTCCATTTTTCCATGAGAAACAACAACAGAAAGAAAAGTGCCTGGCATATCTTACCCATCAACCAAAGCAATTTAGGGAAAGAGGTGATTTCCTTCACCTGATTAGGGAGTACTGCAGAGAAAAGAGGTCCCTGACTGCCTTCTCTTTTAAGCCTAGTGGAACACCAAGGGGGAAGAACTGTTAGGGAATAGGGTGGTATATGAAAATAGAGCTGTGCAACGCTGGAGAAGAAAGTGGACTAGACGTCATGTTGCCATGTCTGCTCAATAGGACCTTGAGAGTTCAACACAAGGCTTGATAATCCGGTGAAAAAAACATTTTTCCAAAAACAAAACAAGTAAACAAAAAAAAAGCTACATTGCAACCACCTTTTTTTTTTTTTTTTTTTTTTTTTTTTTTTTTAAAGGCATGACTAGAAACAATGGTACCCCATGTAAGTTAGTGATTTTAAAGTAAATGTAACTATTAATTATATACTTTTGTTGAATTAAGTCTCATCTTGCAAAGCTCTAATGAAGCCTGATATTACTGACCTCAGGAAAGTAAAGGCTGTAAACAGGATGCGTTATCTTTGATTTGGTTTCCAAAAGAGCCCGCTCCTTTCGCTGTATACTTTGTTGTAATTCTTGCCATTCCTGTTAAAGACAGTAAGGATGTAAAAAATTATGCTGTAACCCTAGTTATACCTTTTATTTTTAAAAATGAAATCTCAGTACTTCCAAAATAGTGTACAGATAGCACAGAAACACTTATGCCAACGTGCACGTTATATAAGAAAAAGGCAAGTTTAGTCAGTGGTCAAATTCCATAGAACAGTTTAAAAGAAAAAAAAAATTAAACAGCATGGAAACATACTATTGTTCAGCTACACAGACGCCCTTAAACTAAACCAATTCAATATTAAAAAAAATCGGAAAGACCACCACATTGTTCTTCCACAATTCTCTCTTTTACAATCAACAATACAAAAAAAAGACGGCTAAGCAGTTGGTAGGCAATCATTATTTACGGCATTTAACTGTCTCACACTGTTTGTTACAGCCACCTGTTTTCTCTCATCTTCCACTTTAGATTTATGATCTTTGGTGCAGGCATCAGCTTTATGGCATGAGAGCAGTGCCTAGCACATGAGCGCCAAACCCCTTCCTGAGCTTAGTAGGAGTTAATGTACATCAGCTTAATTCTCAATTACCAAATTTCTTATAGGGAAGCATGTATACTAATTCTCCTCCCACCACTGCATGTTTGTAGCATGCATTATACAAGACTTAATAGCTCCTGTGCATCAATGACTTTAAAATCACAAGGAAACCTTATACCAGAGAGTACTGTCTATACAGCAAAATACTGTAGGCATGGAATCTTACTGCATCTGAGTTAATTAATTGTCAAAAGAAGCTGAAAAACTTCAGAACATTCTTTCCCTAAAAATCAAGCTGTTCATTTCTCTTGTGATTTTAACACTTCATTTTCCCCTCCATAAGGATTCTTGACTGTTCTCCCTAAGGAACAAGCTTCATTGCCACACTCCAACTGGCAAAACAAGGCTTGATATAAATTTCTCCCGAGAGATTTAGATGTTACTCCTTCCACCTTGTGTTGCTCAGCCTGTACTAGTGGTGAGAGAGAGATAAAAATACTTGCTCCCCCAACCTTAGAAGCAGCACCACCCTCCGCCACAAAATGAGGCTTACAGCTTCATCATCTTTGTTTTGTTTTTCATCTTGCTCTCTGTCAGAATCTCTATCGCTTCCATCCTCTTTTTCACTCTGAGAGTCTCTGTTAGTTTCTTCTTCATCAGATTCACTCCCTTTATCAGAAATGTCTTCATCTTCCTCCTTTACCACAACTTCCTAAATCAGAAATAAAAGAGCAACTCTGTAATTTAGTTTGATTGTATTTATTCTCAAGGGTAGAATTTTGCTTCCCCAAGTCTGAAGGTGGGATTTCAAGTCCTATACAAAGATATGTACTTAATATCTGACCCAACAATATTTGGTAGGTACTATGCTGTGTCAGTTAGTCTCCCTTGGATGAAATGCAAAATAACTTCATGATCACATCTCACATCCAAGTGAGAATTAATCCCTCATTGTACTGAACAAACTGCAATGTCCAAGATGCATACGGAACTGATATGTAGGTTGTGTGCACACATTCAAATGATCTGGGAGAATTCTCCTGGGTTTGTTCTCCTCCTAGAAAAACTTACCCCAAAACGTTTGAACACACATTTGAATGCTAAGCCCCTGAAGAGCAGAGAGCTTGCAGTGCTGATGCTATACAGCCAGGGGTCCCATGTGCACATAGCTCAGCATGCTCTACAAGCTTCCTCAGTCTGCCTGGAGACAGATAGCAGCAGTGCCCAGGACAGCTCTGCTGGACTAAACCAGACTGCTCAGGGTCAACCTGCGTCTCCCTGCAGCACAATGTGGGAATTGCAAAGGAAGTGTTCTGCTTCCTGCCTGGCTAAAGCAGTTGAGTCCAGTGAGCAACAGGCTAATCTCCTGGGGCGGGGATGGGGAGGGACAAAATACCTCGGGATACTGGAGGACTGTGCTGTAGCTTCTCTCAGAACAGAACATGTACAAACATCAACTCTATCAGGAATATTTTAACCTGGGTTGTTCTCAGGGTATTTTTCTCCTAAAACACCCATTTTTATTCTGGGAGAAAAATCCTGAATATACATACACTTGTGGTTTCTACTGGGAGAGCGGTATCTCTCCCAAGAGAAACTGAATGTCTGTATATGGCCTAAGTTCACTTCTCAATATTAAAAGCAAAGTGCTTTAAAATCCAATTCTGCATTCAGAGAGTAACCTGGATATCTTGCTAAGTGGTGTCTTTTCAAAACAAAAAGTGTTTTAATTCAGCTGAAGGCAAAATTATACACTACATCTATAGAATGGGGAACTTTATCGTAGAAACCAGGAATTCTAGAAAGGATTTAAGGGTGCGCAGTAGTGAAATAAGCATGAGCTTGTGACAAATAAGGCTACTTAGCAAATATGTAAAGGCTATTTTACTTCCGTATTACAGAATTGGAGAGATGGATACTGGAAAACTGAATTCAGTTTTAGAATCGCATTTCAAAAAGGATGACAAAACCTTGGAGATAGTAATGAAAAGTACCCTCAGAAATTACTGGCAAGATGGAGACAATGTCTTATATAGAGGGATTAACTGCACTCAATCTACTAAATTCATCAAAAGATGACAGAGTGGATGATTATGGTGTGTAAGCATCTTCAACGGGCAAAAGTGGCAGTTACTAAAGGACTCTAATTTAGCAGAGGAAGGCATAAGAACAACTAACGGAAGGAACTTGAAACCAGAAAAATTCAACTTAGAATCAGACACACACTTTTAATAGCCAGGTTGATCAACTACTAAACAAGCCACCTAGGCAGGCAGCAGGTTCTCCATCTACTGGCGACTTCTAATTAAGACTGGATGCCCTTCCACAACAAATGCTTTAGTCAAACCCAAGCTACTGGGCTCAGGGCAAGTGTTAAGAATGAAATTTAATGGCCCAATATATTCATGAAAAGAGACTAGATTTTACAGTCCCTTCTAGCCCTGAAATCAAGTCTATGAATTAAAGACCAACCCCATTAGCTTGCTTTTGCTTCTGCTGTTTTGGCTGCTGCAAAGGTGGAGGTGCAGGTTTCTTTTTCAAAGGTTTCTTTTTCTTTGATTTTGCAGCCTTCTTGGTTCCTTTATTCTTTTGTTGCCAACCTTTACTTTTAACTCTGTTGGCATCTCCTTGCTGTAAGAAAACACAGTGATTAAACAGCAGTTAAAATAAATGTTTTAAATTTGGGACAACTAGATTCACAGATTTAAAAGCTTTATCTTGTAAGCCAAAGTTCTGTAGGATTTTGTGAAGAGCTAAGTGAGAAGTGTATGAATGAGTCATTCAAAACCTGAATGAAAGTTCATTTCTTAGCCAGGAAGATGAATACTATACCTTGACTTCATTCTTCACTTACCCCATCCTCAGTAGGTTGTTCTTCTGCTGCACAGATGGACTGTTCCTTTTCAAACACTTCCTGATTATGGAAGAAAGTAAAAGTCCATTAGTTTCCATCTGTGCCAGACAAAATTGATGTTTGGAGAGCTATACTGTCACTCTGATATCAAACTGAACTTAAATGGACTAAAATAGAATTTTTTCTTCAGTATAAAGAACTGTTTTCAGTGATAATAATCACAGAAAACTAATTTACTAGCACTAAAAAGCAAAAGTTCAAACCTTTGTACAAATCTTCGCAACACTAACATAATAGTACTTGTGTTAAAAGGTTTATAATGATAGTCCCATCTTGTTCTTAAGCATTTACTTAACCTATAAAATATAAAAATTCTGCATCACAAAATTAAGCAGCAGTAATAAAATGCAAGTTCTTCTCCAGTTACAAAAGTACCAAAAAAAGAACAACTCAACGTCTGGGATACTATTCATGGATTCAAGAGCAAAAAATCAAGCCAGAAGCATGATAAATAGCAAAGTGTAACAAATGACAGAAAACACAATCTTTATGCCCACCCCGCCCCCAAAAAACCATGAAACTCCTGCATAACTGAATACATTTTTGCATTTGTTGTTTAGCTTTGGAAGCTAACACTTGGCACAAACATTTACCCACTTAATTTCTTACAGAAAACTGTCCTGTACTAAGATTGCAAAGATGATTTACTGACAGTACTATGAATACCTAGTACTAGCATGAGATCTCAAAGATATCAAACATTCAGACCTTGGGCACCCCTAAACAAAGGATAATTTGCAACAAATGAGGAAGAGGTCTTACAGATGACAGCTGTCTTTATCACATATCCCTGATTCATCCCCAGAACAACCACATACTGAATAAAACAGGAAACCTATGGAAAATAAATTAATCTAATCTTATTTTCAATCAGAATAAGAATAAATATACAATTAAAGCTACTAAGAAAGAATATCAGAGTTGCCATAACAAAGAGAGACTCAGCTTTTCATTTAAAGACATCGGCATTTATCAACAGTCCTGCCTATTTACTAGCAAAAATCTGACCTATTCAATCTTTTTTTCACAAGTACTAATAAAGTTATATATCCAGGTTAAGAAATACAAGCTAGGAAAAACAAGTATAGGGTGTATGTGCCACCTGAACTTGGCCCCCTCACATTAAAGGGCTGTCAGACCTAGACCACAGAGTTTCTTGCAGGCTGAATCCAGCCAAGGCATGGAGTGGTTCTGGTTCCAGTATGGGACACACCACAGCAGCAGTCACTCCACAAGGGAGCAGCAGTGGGGCTGGCAGCTGAAAAGGTGGGACTGCAATGGTGGCAAATGGCAAAGCGGACAGACGGCAATCGGGGATGCATCAACCCTTGTTCATCCTCCTGGCTCCAATCCTCATGCTCACCAGGGCCCAGACAATTACTCCTAGCCAAACCCCCAACTTCTGGGTTGCCCACCATTAGCCTGGAAGGACAGAATCATAGAATCATAGAAAAGTAGGGTTGGGGATGACCCTGGGATGACCTCAGGAGGTCATCTAGTCCATCCCCGTGCTAAAAGCAGAACCATACGCAACCATATCATTCCAGCCAGGGCTTTGTCGAGCTGGGCCTTAAAAATCTCAAGGGATGGAGGTTCCACCACCTCTCTAGGTAATCTGTTCCATTGTTTCACCACCCTCCTAATGAGAAAGTTTTTCCTAATATCCAACCTAAACCTCCCTTGCTGCAACTTGAGATCATTGTTCCTTGTTCTGTCATCTGTCACTACTGAGAACAGTCTAGCTCCAACTTCTTTGGAACCACCCTTCAGGTAGTTAAAGGCTGTCAAATTCCCCTTCAGTCTTCTCTTCTGCAGACTAAATAAACCCAGTTCACTCAGCCTCTCCTCAGAAGTCATGTGCCCTAACTCCTGAACCATTTTCATTGCCCTCCACTGGTCTCTCTCCAACTTGTTCACATCCTTTCTATAAGGGGGGAGGCAGGGGACCAAAACTGGACACAGTACTCTAGATGTGGCGTCAATAATGGAGAATAGAGTGGAATAATTACTTCCCTTGATCTGCTGGCAACACTCTTACTAATGCAGCCCAATATGCTGTGTGCCCTTGTTTCCAAGAAGGGTAACTGCTGACTCAAATCCAGCTTATTGTCCACTGTAACCCCCAGGTCGTTTTCTGGAGAGCTGCTGCTAAATCAGTCAATCCCCAAGCTGTAGCAGTACATGGGATTCATCCATCCTAAGTGCAGGACTTTGCACTTGTCCTCATGAGATTTCTTTTGGCCCAATCCTCCAATTTGTCTAGATCACTCTGAATACTAACCCTACCCTCCAGTGTACCTACTACACTACTCAACTTGGTGTCATCTGCAAACTTGCTGAGGGTAGAATCCATCCCATCTTCCAGATCGTTGATGAAGATATTGAACAAAACCATCCCTAGGATTGATCCCTCGGGCACTCTACTTGATACCGGCTGCCAACTAGACAATGAGCCATTGATTACAACGTATTGAGCCTGACAATCCAGCCAGCTCTCTATCCACCTTACAGTCCATTCATCCAACCCATACTTGCTTGCAAGAATCATGTGGGAGACAGTATCAAAAGCCTTGCTAAAGTCAAGGTATATTGCATTAAATGCTTTCCACCCCTCCACAGAGCCAGTTATGTCATCATTGAAGACAATCAGGTTGGTCAGGCATGACTTGCACTTGGTGAATCCATGCTGACTGTTCCTCACAATAGTAATCCAAAATCCACATTTTCCATGATTAAAATGAAACACCACTATATACACGCACATATATATGCATGCTGCCCTGAAGAATTAGATTCTATCCCTCTCTGTCAGATTTTTTATGTGATGCTAAGCAAATCCTAAACTAGACTTCATGTAAGTGGTCAATAAAGACCGTGTAAGTGGTTGGTTGTAAAAAGAAGTTGCATTTCTCTCAGGAGAAAGCCTGTAGTCCCACTTCAAGTACCTGTGAAGTATGAGAAATAAAATGCACTAACAATTTTTCTCAGATATTGCTATGTACATCTATAAGTTAATTGCAGCTCATTTAGCATAATTGTCCTTCATCCCAGAGACAAGTATGTCAGGCTATGTGCTCTCTGTGGCCACCTACTGACAGAGAAGCAGCAATGCAGCTTGGAAGGGCTACATATATAAAGGGCTATTTTGATTCGAGTTGAATCCCAGTACAATCAGAACTGCCTATAATGAGAGGTCTGTTTAAAGCCTAACTATGTGTTCCTCATTTTCTGGATGGCTAAGTCAAGTCCTTGGAGTGATGTGCAGGATTGTCAACAATCCTGTTTAAGTTATCCAACTTGCATATTGTAATTGCCTAACCATAGTATTATCTACAATGTGGAGAACTCACAGCTAACTGCATATTTTTAACTCAAAGTAATAACTAATGCAAAGTACTCTGAAAAAATTAGATACCCAGATTTGGATAAGTTATTTTTTTAGCCTAATCTTGGGGCCTCATTTCTCCATCCAAGAAATGAGGATAATTCCCCTTACACTTTTGGGGGATTCTGTAAAGATAAATTAGTATAATATAGTATAGGCCATGGAAAAAACCATAAGAAAATTAATCGTTTACTTCATGGCAAGTATTAAACAGGAGGCATGTCTACACATGAATTTACAAACACCTAAACTTAATTCATCTTAACCTAAGGCACATTAAGACGATTTAGGCATGTGTCTAAATGTGGATGCCTTAAGACGCCTCGCTGGGCTGCCTTGGTCAGCACTCTGGACAGCCCCTGGAAGGCGGTGGCAGCATAGCTGGGCAATGCCCAGCACCGGGGGTGGAAGCCTCCAGTCCTTTCCAGATGCAGTTGGCCTGGCTCTGGCCCAAGCTCTAGCTCCCTCCCTGTGTTCCTGTCTCCCCAGCGTCAAATGAGAGTGAGCCAGAGCTGAGCCCATGGGGCCCTGCACTGCCGCCAGGTGCCACCAAGAAGACGACACAGAGGGTACTGTTCTGCAAGGCACAGATGCTAGAGCTAGAGCAGTGGTTGTGGCAGCAGCAGTTCCTGTCAGGGTGCACTAAGTTGATAGAGGGGGTAGCAGGCACAAGGGCTCCTGTCAAATCACAAGGGACAAGCCCCCCTGTGACTCCCTGCCGGGGAAGGGGGCAGCACAGCACGGACAGGGCCTTTGCTAGCAGTTTCCCCATGCCTCTCTCACAGGGTGGGTTTGCTGGCCAGGCAATGTAACCCTGCAGGGGCGGGATTCATGCACCCTTAGAAGCCTGCTTGGTTTTGGATCAGGTGGGTCAAGGAGAGAGCTAAGCCTCCACCCACATTGCGCCCAGCCTGCCAGGCCTGAGCTGTGCAAAATCACCAGATGCTTACAAAGGACAGAAGTGGATAGAGCAGGGAAAGCCATGCTGGGTGCTGGGGGCAGACAGTCCCAACCCACCTGCTGTCCCACACAGGAGCCCCAGCATGGACTTCTAAGATCACCTGGATCCTGTGCAGGCAGCAAGGCATCCCACCCCTACAGGGCTGCATTTCCCAGCCAGCAAAACTGCCTCAAAAGAGAAGCATGGGGTAGCTGCTAGCAAAGGCAGTGAATAGAATGGCTTCTAAGGTTTCTGATTAAGTGAACTTGGGCACACAAAAGCTTGTGGAGAGAGAGATTTAGCCATGTTAGTCTGAAGTCAGTCAGAAGGCAGATATACACCTTTATAGACTAAAAAAGTAAGAGATCTCTCTCTTATTTAGTCTATAACTAAATTAAGAGATTAGTGATCTTTAGTGAAAATAAGTGTATTTAAGATATAGACTAACTAAATAAATATATCTTATTTAGTCTATAGAAATGTGTATCTGACTGACGTCAAATTAATGTGGCTAAATACTTCTTCTCTCTAGCATTTCTAACATGAAAACAGATGGTCTTGAGAAGTGATTTAATAATTTTAACAATAGCAGTGTTTGATTTAAGAATATTTTAAAAACAAAATTATGAATAAAATTAAGCAGCTAGCTCCCAACACAAGAAATCCAGTTCATCCCCACAATGCAATATAAAATAGCAGATTTCTTGACTACTTACTGCCATTGTCTGTCTTGTTAAAGTGACCAAAACAGTGACTAGTGATCCTACTGTAATATTGTTGCTGTCTTCATCATCCAAAACTAAGATAAAAGAAAATAAATACTTCCATTTAGCCTTTATTTTGTTTAAATAGTTTCATACTTTTTTAAAATTTAAGCATTACTAGAGGGAGAAAGACATTTGAATGCAGTCAGCTGACTCTTCAAGAACTAACAGAAACTTCAGAATACTGGTGAGCCCCCATCCCAAAAAACCCAAACTTTTGACCATATTTTTGAACACCACCAATTTATAATACATTATTAAAATGAGGATTAGCATAAACTACATTACAAAAACACTGAAGTTGCATAATAAGTAGGAAATTCAAAGTTATGGCTGTTGTGAGAAACAATTCTGTAGCAGCGTACATTTTATATTACTAAAATTTTATGTTTTAGATATATTATACTTATGTGATAAATATATCTATCTCGAGATATCACATACGAGTATAATATACACTAAAATTATATACTCTAATATATTTTAGTTTGAGTATAGTATATACACACATACCACATATGAACAAGGGGACCTAGTTACAGTTTTTTAATTGTATAAATGAAGGAAAATCCATCTCAGTTTCAGAGCTGCATTGACCGTCCTGCATCCCATTTCTTTTTCAGAGAGAAGAGAAAGAAAAAATAAAATAAAGCAAATAAAGAATACTGCAAAGGAGTTTGTAAATAACACTGATCACTGTCAGTGGGACTAGTGAAATGATTGGTAAATCTCTCAGATTAAGGTATTACTGTACTGCCTACTGATTGCTAACTATGTGCACTTTTTCTTCCCAAGTATGAAGACAGAAAAGATTAATCCTACCTTGCATAACTTCTTAAAAAAAGGTGCACATGTTAAAGTTACAGTATGCAGGGGTAGGGACAGTTTTTGACAAGCAATCAGATCAGTATAGGCACCTCCCCAATTAGTAAATGTAACAGACTGATTTGAAATGCACAGTATACTGTTTTTACTTAAATGTATATATGTAGACTCTTCAACATTTCTGAACACCATGTGTAAAAATAAGTTCAGCAGGCACATATACCCCTTGTTGAGGACCATGTATATGCCGAATTCAAGACTAAGCCGGCTGAAGAAAGATGTCAACATTTTGACTCTGGCAACACTGATATTCATAATGAAAACGTATTTATTTTGCAAATATTTCCAAGTCTTCCAAATATCTCAGAGGTAGATTAACATTAAGCTTTTCCATTAGGAAGATGTTTGAATGATCAATTTGCTTAGTTTAAAAATAACTTTGCAGCACCCATGTAACAAATTTCAGATAACCAGAAAAAAAGAGAACAATGTATTCAATTCAAACTGTACACTAATTAATTACAATATGACTATTCAAGGTAGAATTTGTGCACAAGACAGTTTCTCTCTCTCTCTCTCTCTCTCACACACACACACACACACACACACACGATCATTAATGACCCAGACACACACACACGCCTGCTGCCATATTTAAGTTTACACAACACTAAATCAAACACTACCATCAATACCTCTTGAGGAAACTATTGCTAACCTAGGAATCTGTCAGACGTTTTGATGTACTTGAGTTTCTCAAGCTATAAAGTTGACATGTAAGAAGAGCCTGTCATTCAGGAAAACCTACCCTTTTCCAGGTTACATAAATAATATAATGAACTATTTAAGAGTTCTGAGCAGATTACTACCAACAGACTATCAAGTTGTCAAGAGGGAAGACATATGCATGAAAGGACCTCCCACTTACCCTGTGATTTTATATCCATGGTGACATGTGGAAAACTGCCAAGGACAGCCATAACTTCATCGTATTTCTCATCTTCTAGGAAATGTAGTAAGTTGTGGCGGTCAGATTCTTTCAGACTCACCAAGTCTTGGATACTTTTGATTTTGTGCTTGGTTAAAAAAGGGAAAGGAGAAAAGAAAAAAAATTCACACTACAGAAAAATCTTGTCGAAATGAAACTCTAGTTAATAATATATTACTTATATCCTAACAGTGCAAAGTGTTCATTTGATGCACACACACTAAAAACTCATTGGAAAATTGATTTGTTTAAAAAAATTAATATAAACCAACAAAAAAATACATGTCCCATTCATGCTTACTGTACTTGCATTCAAATCACTGTTGTCAAAACTGAAGTAATAATTTATACAATACCTATTATTTTAACTGGACATTTCAGTAAATGAGGTAAAATAGCTTGAACACTTTATTAATCTTGCTTCTATATTTTCTGGTTCTATTTTGCATAAATAAAAAAATCCTGAACTTTTTGCTATATGTTGCAATGTTAAGAAATTAATAAAGAGAAATGTATTTTATACACTGGTCTGGTAGTCTATACATAAAACAGTCACTGCTGATAAAATCTACAGACAACATCAAATAGCAGAGCAATAAATAGGGATCTGGGTTTTCTGTTTCCCATGGGGAAACAGAGAAAACTGCAGATTTTCTCTTTACCAGAAGAAACCACAGATTTCTCATTTTAGGAGAAAAACCCACAGATTTTGAAGTTTTGCATAGAGCATTCTGCACGCTGGCAGAGTTCCAGCCTGCGAGGGGCTGGGAGGGAGCGGGGGAAGGATGGTCAGGCAGGGGGCACCTGGTCCATGTATACGTAGATGGCCACCAGGCAGCCTGAAGAGCAGGTCCCATAGGTGGGGGGGGGAGGAGATTGAGACCCCCAAAAGGGAGGGAGGGAAGGAGTTGGCCAGGGCTAGGGCTGGGACTGCTGCCCAGCTGGGTAATGTGTGGGGCTTGGGGTTGGGGCTGCAACATGAGGCCGCAGGGTCCCGGCAGGGAGCAGGATAGGGCTGCGGGTGGCTTGTCCATGGGGGAGGGGGAGGGGCTGGCACCCCACCACTGTACGTACTTCCAGGAGGCAAAGGGAGGGCAGAGTGGGCTGCCCGCTGCATGCTCAGGCTCCCAGACTGCTGCCCTACCCAAGGGCCTCCGCAGGCTGGCAGGTGCAATCCAGGGCCGCAGGGCAGAGCAGGGCCATGACGGGATCTCCTTGCCACTGCAAGGTCCACACTGCCCTGCCGCGGCATCCCCTGCACGCACAGCAGCAGTGACAGGCACAACCCTGAGCCACCATCCCTGGTGCTGCCGCACATGCAGCGAATGCATCGCCAAGGCAATGTGGGGCTTGCAGTGGCAAGGAGATCCCCGTATGGCCCCACTGTTTCCTGCAGTGCTAGGTTGCAAGCACTGGGCTGCAGAGGCCTCAGGGGAGGGCAGCAGCGTGGGAGCCCAAGTCTGCAGCCTTCTCAGTACACAGATCTGGGAGGTATGGGTCCCCCATGTCCTCCAGGAGTGTGCGCAGCAGCAGGGAACCCACGCTCCCATTCCCTCTGTCTGAGCCCGCAGCAGGCAGGCAGCAGGCAGGTGAGCCAGGCTCCACTTTGCTGCAGCAGCCACTGCCTCCTGCATGGGGCAGAGAGCTGTGGACCTGGGTCCCTGGCCCTGTAGCCCTGGCACCTGGGGGCCCCCTCCGGCAGGTCTGAGGGGAACAGGGGAGGGGAGGAGTGAGGGGCCTTTCATTTTAATCATGGATTTTGGAGTTTTTAATGACAATTTACGATTTTTTATCAGAGATTTTGCAATTTTTTTTTATCAGGGAAAGCCAGCATCCCTGGTGATAAATGACAGTAACGGGTTGGCTGTAATTCAGAGCATTCTGTATCACACAATAATATAGGTCCATTCAAACAGAATGTGTTTTAATATAGCCAAATGTACAGGTCATACATCTAAGGCAGTTATACCCAACCAGAGTCCCATAAGAACCTTTAAAGGGTGCCATGCAATATTAGTAATATTAGGTGTTCAATGCCTATATATGATTCACAAAATTAACCAGAGCTATGAAACAGGAATCTACAATGTCAAAAACATTATGACCTGCCATGGTCTTTGAGTTTTTCATAGTTTCATAGTTTCTAGGGTCGAAAGGGACCTGAGCAGATCATCTAGTCCGACCCCCGATCATCTAGTCTGACCCCCTTTTGCAACTGAAGAATAGGTCTATTATTCTTCTGCAGTCCAGATATGGGTGAAAGCTAAGAGCTGGCATTTTTGAGTGAGCCCTGAGTCTAATGAGCGGTAACCACTCACTTAAAAAGGAAGCATAGGTCATACCTATAAAATGGGGAGCTGCATCCTGGAATAGTGTCTCAGAAAAAGGATTCAGTGGTCACAGTGGACTAGCTTCTCAACACAGTGGACAAGTGAGAAGCTTTGGCAAAAACAGCCAATATGTTCACTGCATGTCTAAACAGGTCAAAATTAAGAGAAGGGAAGAACTCTGTTTTTCCTCTATATGATACTGTTTTGACTGGCATTGGAAAATGGTGTAGTTCTAATCTCCATATTGCAAAAGCAATGTTAAAAAATTGGGGGGGGGTATACAGAAAGATGCACACTAAAATGAACTTCAATGCTGGAGAAAATACTCTGCAGCAAGTTAAGGATCTCAATCCATGTAGTTTACTAAAAGGAAGACACAGATGAGTGGAATACAGTGTTTGAACACTTTAACAGGGAGAAAAATACCAGGTACTAAGAAGTTCTCTGACCCATGCAGAGATGTATAACAAGAACCAATGACAAGATTTGAAAATCAGACAAAATTACATTAGCAATAAGGCAAATTTATTAGTGTGATGGTGATTAATCACTGGAACAAACTACCAAGGAAAGCTGATTGCTGTTAATTTCAGTGTTGATTGATAGCTTCAAGTCAAGCCTTTCTGGAAGATGTACTTTATTTTCAAACACAAGCTGTTGGGTATAATACGGGTTTAACTGGAGAAAATTTGATTGTCCAAGCCATACATAAGGTTAGAAAAGATCATCTAACAGTCTAACCTTATTGAAGCAGCAAGATATTGTTTTTGTCCAGCATACCTACCCCAAAATTAATTATACTATGGATTCTAACTCTCAGAGCATGTATCACAGTCATTCCACAATTCATTTATAAGACAATCAGAGATGCATTTTAAGGAACCATGCAATTCAGGCATTCAAGCTATGAATCAGTAAGTTTGCCAACTCATAAACAGTGTCACGGTAAAGGAAATAATACTTAGTCATGCTCATCTTTCCTTTATCAAGAGCTTCATACCTTTTTATTATTGGAAACTCTCCTATGATTGTCCTCTTCAATGTGAGGTAGCTGCAGAAGTGGAGATTTGAACTGCTGAAGACCTTGGACAGTCATTTGGGAAAGCTTCATGCAGTTTTCCAAAGATCCCAATGATGGAGCACGGAACTCCCTTTCTTGGAGAGAATGAAATATACAACATCACTTTTTATATTTTTTCCTGTACCTTTAGAAGTTTGTGATATATTGCATTCTGAAGGAAGACAATAATGACCAGTCTAATGACCATGAAGGGGAGATTATCTTGCTAGCATATATATATATAAAACAATTAAAATTATATATAGCAGCAAGATAATTTGTACTTACATTAAATTAAAATATATTTTAATTTAAAATTATATTTGTTAATTTAATTTAATATTTTAATTGAGCTACTAATTACCCTCTGAATAGTAGTGTCAATTTTGCTTTAAAGTTATAAATTATTTGTCTGTTTAATAAGTAAAGAATTCCTGGGCTTTATAGCCCAGCCAATTTATAGCCTGCTAATTTTTTTTCACATTGTGCTATACAGGTTCATAGTTGTTAGGGCTGAATGACTGCTTCCCTCCTAACCCCATAGACTGCCCATGGGACAGATGGGGTAAGAAGTAATGTACGCGGCCCAAAAAAGAACAACATTTTTAAACTCAGTTTGTGGTAATGTGTACATATAAATAAGATTAACAATTATTTTAATATTTACAGTGAATCTATAATGGAAAGGCCAAATGTGAAGTAGCAGCACCGACCTATCATGTGATGAAGAGAACAGAGCTTAATCCAAAGACAAAATTGCCACCCAGTGAAAGAGAGGCCTATGCTTTAAAATAAGTAGCTAAAATAAAAGTGAAAGGTGAACCATATTATAGCTCCAATATATTAGCAACACATAGAATATTCAACCCCATGAGCAAAACTGGGGTGTGCAAACACTTACAAGATGTAGAGAATAGGAAAATGGACAGTTTAGGGATATAAGTATTGTCTGTATTTTCAAACAGTGTGAAGTACAATAAAATTCTCTTCAGAGAGTAATCAAAACAAACAGACACACATGCAACTGAGTAGGCAAAGACACAGATTAAAAACCAAGCATTGCCAGGCTTTGGCTACCACGGGCCAAAGCTTGTGACCCAGCTCCCTACTGCAGGTTGCAAATTTTCCTATCACAATGCAAAACTTCAGCAGCACACAGTATTCTGGAATCACTCACCTGCAGCACTACAATTTATTTAAACAGGCATAATAAGACATGATTATTAGAGACCCATATTACAGCACCACCTTCATCTTCAGCAGAAAGACATTTACCCTGGTAGGTGAGGCATGTTAAATATTTCATGGTTTAGCTTCTTTTACTAACTGAACATGTAACTGTGTTGGGCACATTTCTTTGTTTCTTTAAGTTCTTTCCAAGGCTGCATACAAGTTTCTCTCTATCAGAAGAAATTTCTTTTCGTAGAAAAACAGCCTAGGAGCCAACCTGTACAGACGTTCCTCTTGCCCAGTGGTTCTCAACCTTTTTGGACTTGAGGCACCCCTCACTGGACTCCAGGTAGTCCTCTACAACTTTTGTGAATTTTTTGGCACCCAATTAAAAAAATTAATATACAAATGTATTATAGTGCCTACCTCCTTGCAGAGAAGCTTTTAAATTACCACCCAATGAGAGCAGCAGAAGGGTAAGAGGGGGACTGGGAGGCTTTCCCCAAGCCTGATTTCCGGGTACACAGGCTTTCAGAATTCACCACCCTCCACTGCTCAGTTGAATGGAAGGAGGAAGGAAAGGGGAAGGAGGCACAGACCAGAGCTGGGCTTTCACACCCAATTCCCAGCCATGCTGGTTTTGCAGCCGTGCAGCAACAGGAAGCAGGTAGAGGGCATTGCAGAGGAACTGGCAAGTCAAAGCCCCTGCCTGCTTCTGACACAGGGAACTTAGGTGTGAGAAGCAGGCAGGGAGCAGACTGGACTCAAAGTAGATCCTTTATCTCCTGGGTTATGAGATGATAGGAACAGCTGCTTCTGACACCTTCCCCAGACTGGTAACCCTGATCTCTGGAAGGCACAGGAACCTTTTCCCTCCCAGGAGAAACTCTCGTATGCGTGATTTAATCCTGGTGGTTCCCAGCTTATTTTTCTCCTAGAGCGACCATTTTTGTTCTGGGAGAAAAAGCACGAATATCTGCACATTTCTGTTTCCTACGAGGAGAATAGCAATTCTCCCAACAGAAACTGAACGTCTGCATACAGCCCAAGTCTCAACAGCATAAGCCAGGGGTCCTCAACCTTTAGCTTGTACACTAGATGCAACCCACACAGCCATATCATATGGTCTGCAGGGCTCCCCAGTGGTCTGGAATTCTGTGGGAACAGTAGCAGCATTAACTGCTGCTCCCCTGCTCTCACATTTCCAGACTGATGAGTAGCCCTGTGGGCTGGACTGGATGTGTGCCAGTCCTCTGGCACATAAGGGGCCAAAAGTTCAACGTCACTCACATAAATCAGTAAGGTATCTATATTTTGCTATTTGTCCAAAGATATTAAAATAAATTTTCACTATATGCAGCCTGTTTCGTACATTTCTTCTTCAGCTGTGATTGTTCCATCTACTGTGTCATGATTTGCTTCAGAATAACCAGAAAACGCCATTTTTTAATAAAACACAGTCAAACACTAACTTTTATTTTACACATTTGAGAAGAATTAATATTGAACTTCTACAGTTCCTCAGTAAAGCTGAAGCAAATTTTTATACAAAGATCATTTTAAAAAAAACCTTTAAAAAATTATTTTAAAGTTATCTTGAAGATAGGAAAACAAAGTTGTAGGTGGAAACAACCCCTGCCTTGTTCTGTCTTAATAGGAAAAGCGTGATGTCTTCACCACAATATCGAACTCTCTCTATATGTCACAGGCCGGGGGCATTATATATTAATAGTGAATGGGGAAAGAAGCTTCACCGTAATGACAGCTAGAATAGATGGATGAATACATTCATAACCAAATTTCAGGCACCAAAGAAACCATGTAAGCCGTCATCATTTAGCAAATGTCTCCAAAATCAAAGAAATACTCTTGGGGAAAGAGAGGCCTCTCAGAATAACTGTAACATCCTCTAGTAACCCCACAGTAATTACTTTTATTAAAAGGGGCAGGGTTTTGGCCAACTTATTCTGTGCTAGCTCTTTACAAATCATGTCCCACTAATCTACAATAACAATTCAGTGGTATTGATATAACCTATTTAAGTGTTCCTGCTGACCTTGCCCATTTCAGCATTCCTTGTCATTCCCATGACATGGCTTACTGGGTCACAGCCATGCATAATATTGCATGGTAAGTTGTTCCCTAAAAATAGACAGCAAGAAATCTTTAGGAAGCTAAAAAACCTCTAAAAAGGATTTTGAATATGATTCTGATGAAAGAAGACATACAGTTGAGGATTCTCTAGTAGCCAAATGCATCAAGTTCTTGAAGACAGCATCAGAACCTTAAGTGTTTTGTCATTATCTGCAGGCATGAAAAAATAGTGCCTGCGATGCAGAGAAGCCATGGATTCTCTTTGTTCTAACAGTGTTTAGAGCAAAAAAGAGGAGAGGATTTTAAAGAGTATTAAGAGGGGATCTGTTAAAGTATTACATTTAGATTAAGATGGCTCCCCCTGAAAGGCTCAGAATGAAAACAGATTGAACAGACTGTAAACTATGGGGGGGGAGGAAGAAACATGAGAGCAAATAAGATGAGCGAGAAAAAAAAAAGATGAAAGATATAAAAAGCAATGAAGGAAGAATGTGGAGGGAGAGGATGACAATGGAAACATCATACATCACGTAAGTGATAACAGGGAGCACAAAGGCACTACTCCAGCACATGATATTTTTTTTAAACATCTGACCTTTAAAATGCGCTTGCTTTTATTACCATCTTACAAGTGACCCTCTTTCAAGATCACAATTGATTGCAAGAAACAATAACCTCAGCTTGGGAATTACTTGCAGGAACAGTTTAACTCTTAAGAAACTGAGAACTTTTTCATGACAGTGATAAGAATATAATGTACAAGAAACATTTCATATACATTTCTTTAAGTACCACATCTCAAGGTTTTCTCCAGGCAACATTTTTTTTGGAACAGTGATCCGATGAAGAGTGAAATTTTATTAGTTTAAATATAAAGCTTCTGCCTTACCTTCACGGCTGCGAGCCATTATTATCAACTGACAGATAACGTTAATCATTTCTTGAAGTAAAGCAGGACACTTTTTCAGGATAAACTGCTGATCTGAAAAAGAAGTGATTTGATCCAATTATACTGCTTTCTATTAGATGCCCTGCTTAATTAATTTTCTGAAATATTTCTGACCCTTGTTATATTTTAAGTAATGTCTAACTTATACTCAATAATACCCTCCACACACAACATACACACACACATTCTTTTTCTTTTCTTCATATTATTCTCTAGCATACATATCAGTAATATAACTAAGGGGTAGGCAGGCAGGGCACCAGGCCAAGGAACTAACTTAGAGGACACCAGTAAGGCTCCCCCATCCTCCAAGAGCATCTCTCATGGCATGGGTAGCCCTGTGCTACTGCTGGCCACAGAAACCACACAGGCACAGCACCCATGCTCAGCAGTGTACCTTGGGGGGAGGGGAATGTCACCCCCCTCGACCAGAAGGCTTTGCCATTGGGGGCACAGTCCTGTCCCTATGCGTTGCAGGTGGAGGTGAATAGGGCACCAGGAACAGACCCTGGGGAACCCAGGCTGCTGCCTATTCCTCAGTTCCTACTGCCACTCAAGTAAAGAGAGCCCAGGCAAGTAAGACTCCTCTCCTCCCACTCCCTCTTCCCCCACTTAAACTTCTGATGCATATATTCTGATTCTTCCAGAAACTGAAGATTCTCAGCACCTGCTGCCTTCCCAAAGATCAGAAGCAGTTATGGATAATTTTTGGTAGACTTCAAAACACAACTCCCTATGTACAGCAAACAAACCTTTCTGCTACTTTAAAAGGGATGGGGGAGTTGCAGCATAGGAGCATAAAGCAGCTGTTATGGTCGGTTTTACCTGCATAATCCTGTAGCAATACAAGTCACCTATTTTTGCTCCTCAGTGAAGTTGCAGTGGTTTTGCTATACTTGTATTGGTATAGACTCATGCAGACATAACAGCTGCATCATAACAGCCTGTATGCGTATCCTTTGATATCACTACAATTATTTTATGTCTATACCTCACAGTATCAGATTTTAAGAAATTGATTCTCAAAACACTATTCTAAAATAATCTTAGGAGGTGACTTACACAAAGGAAAATGCAGGGTTTATGCTTATTTGATTCTTAATATGAAAGCCTGAAAGGTTTATAAAAAATCCGTCTACTTGCATATACAGAGATCAACATACTGAAAACTGAGTGACAGAGGGACTCAAAATCCCTTTCTGAATATTTTAAAACAGTTCATTTTCCATTAACAAACCTAATTCCAAAGCTTATCACACTTGTTCAAAAAGATGCTCTCTGTTCAAATCTAACACATTCCCAGATGCTTCACATATAAAAGTATGACATTTCCACAGGCAGCTGAGACCCCAAAAGCCCTCAGTTGATCATAGGGAACTCCAGGCTTAACTTCTCTGATGTTTCTAAACACCAAAATAACCAAGCAGTACAAACCTTTCAGGTTTCCCCTATCCATAAAAACAACACGAAATAGCAAAAAACTTTTTTTTTTTTAAATATTTGAAGGTCACGTATAATATAAATCTAGCAAACAAACAAGCAAACAAACAAATCAGAATTCTGATCTTTTCTCCTCTGTCCCAGTAAAAATAAAATTAAGGAAAGTTACCATACTGAGGGAGCCATTTCACCACTATCTTGAATGTATTCCATCGCAGCAGCAGATGCATAGAGCTACTTTTGAAGATTTAAAAAAACAAAACAAAACCAAAAAGGTTTGTTCATGTCAATCGAAAAAAAAAAAGCCCAAACACTTGCAGTGATAAGAGCTTTAAATAGAAGTTAAAAGCATCCAATGCTCAGATGGAGAAAATTAAAACAATTGGAATCTTAATATCATAGCCACAAGTTTAAGGTGCCTCATTCTGAAAGTGTTATAGCATAGTGCATGGATTAATGTCCAAAAAGGCCTCAAATAATACTTTTATTGGACCAAAATGAGTAAATATATGAACATACATCTGATAACCTGAGTCCCAATAAGGACTGAATCATAATTACCTTCTTCAAGGGTCTCGGGAATTTTCATTCTGGCAAGATGAGCAAGTAAGAGAACTCTTGCCTTCAAGCTGTATGGACAGGTAAGTGGAGGTTCATTCTTCTTTAAGTTAATGCCACCAATTTCTCTGATTAGCTGAAGTACACAGAATTATTAGAGTCAAATAGCTATTTTAGTATCAGAAGATAAACTTATAGCATGAGTGGAATGACTTGCAGGGATATACAAACAAATAAAAAAAACCCATAAACACAAAAAATGGATTAAGTGGATTTCATTTTCATAAGCAGTTAAGTAATATCCTGCAAATCAAAATGAAGATTCCAGAATATCAGATGTTTGGTTAAGACTCCAATTCCAACACTGGTTACTGTACACGTTGTTTCCAAAAGTAGTATTTGTTTTTAGACTATTAAAGAAACTGAGATTACTCTAACCATAAACTTGGATTTTTACTTTTGCTGATGAACAAATATTGGAATGTCTGTTTTTTCTTTATTCGAAAGCACTTGCTTTTATCACTGGGGACAGGGGGTGGGGGAGGGGTTAAGTCAAGTTTCCATGAACTGCTGACAGAATTTCATCTTGTGACCTTTCATCCAGAAAAAAAACAATGCTAAGGGAAGGAAGAGCATTGCAGACCTATAGCCTATGCAATATGCAAAACAAAGTATTTTAAACAATCCTGCTTCACTCAGCATTTCTCTAAACTGATGCTCATTAAGAATGAACACATATGAATCCTATTGACCTAAGCTTAGTCCAAAGTAGATCCTGTACCAGATTTGTCCCAATTCCCTGGAAGGAATGGTACAAAACTGAGTAGCCAAAGATCATATTTTTTAAGACTCAAGAGGTAAGACTGAGAAGCCTCACCCCTTTGGGTGAACAGATCACCTGAGGAAGACCAATTTCCAAACTCTTTTTCTTTTCTCTGAAATGGCCACTCTTAGTAGTCCTGGCATAAGGCAGACAAGCTAGACCAGTCTTTAACCAAGATCTCCCTGTACTATTAAACTATATACAGGACTGATTAATTATTAGTGTTAAAGCACACTGCTTAAAACACTGACTTTTTTGATAGTTTTGATCATTCTTAAATTTTCAGTTTATTTACTTTGATAGTTTATCAATAATAGATAGCTTCAGCTCATTTTCTTGATTTGATTTTTGTTAATATTATTTCAACAATATTTTTCCCCTCAAGAAAAAGAGATGTATATTTCTTACAACAGAGTATGTCCATAACCTTAAAGGACCTGTGAGAAGTCTAGCTGGCCAACCCAAAAATACATCTCCTAATACATCTGCTTCTCATAAACAAATGAAACGTCTTTAGAAATGAACTAACCTGTGGTATCTGAATGTTATCTGTTGGTCTGCTTGTAGCATCTTTATTATATTGTGGGTCAAATTCAGAGGCCCCTGCCAAAACCATCTCAAGCCCTGGAAGGATAGTTAAGGGGAAAAAGTACAGCAAAGTAAAACACAATGTTTTACAATTTCAGCTTGCTAAAATACCTTCTCCCAGAAGTTATCAGGATCCCACCATGTCTAACAAGTGACTTTTCAGTATCTTCAACCAAACATTTAGCTGTTTTCACCTCTCAAGAGCAATAGGAAGTGCCTCCTGTTGCATTAGGTGCACCCAACATCACTTTTTGCATTAAGACAGCACGTGCCAAGACCTGACAAAAAATTGCACTTGAAACAGCTCGAGGACCCCACAAGCACTCCAATCTGTCTGTGCTTTCTTAAAGGAAGTCAGACTGTCCTGTGGCTGCAGCCCTAAAGGCAACTTGAGATGCTGGACTCATCCTCCTGAAAGCAGCTGAAGGTGATGTGGAGAGGGTCTTCTAAAAAAACTTAAGCAAATTTCCCCTCACGGCAATTAGAGTGGCTGCAGGAACCACATAGCAAAGAGGTAACATGCAAATAAGGGGGATGTAATTTCTTGTGATTTTTTTCTATACAAAAAGTTATTTTTTTGAAGATTACCACCACCACAGTATAACTTTATACGAAGTTACACTGGATATCCTTCAACCTGGAAGTCAACTGTCTATA